GCATCCCTCCGGAGAAAACAGAAGTGCAGAGCTGCAGTAGTAGCAGCCTGGCTGAGCAGCGCCATGGGTGCCACACACAGGCCATTACATGTCCCTGCTCCCACATGGCCCCAGCCCAACCAGCAGCAGAAGCCCAGCCGGCCCAGTTCCCCACGCAGGCACTGCCGGAGCCGAGCTGCTCCTAGGAAGGCAACCCAAAGAGATCCCGTCCTGGATGGAGGACACGACTCGGGGTGGGTCCGGCCTTCCCTCAGCTGGTTTCCAAAACCAGGCGCAAAAGCTGGCTTAATTACGTTAGTAAATGGCTCCCAGGAAATAATTGCCGCTTTTATGGAAGCGACCTCATTAGGCACTGTTAAATTGGGCAGTAACAGACATCTGGTGTCCGTGACATCACTGCACCGGTGCAGGACCCGGCCGTGTCAGTGCTGCTGCTCCCAGGGCAGCACGGGACGGCCGTAGGGCCGCAGCGCCTGGCCACGTGCTGCCGACAGCTGTCGGAGAGGGGAAGGGGGAAAGCAGACAAGCCCTGACGGAGCTGAAAACGCACTGAAATGGATAGCCAGGCTGTGCGGCAGGAATGAAGGTAATTCATCACCTCTTACTGCATTATTTGTTGTTCCTCTCGCCTTGCTGCCGAACGAACCTCCAGCTTCAGGGCAAACCCTTCTTGTGCACCAGGGAAACCCGGTCCCGCACTGCAGGCGGCTCCCGCACGGTGCCGAGCAGCTGCTGCCGGGCTGCACAAAGAGCCGCGCTCCGGCCCCAGCGCTGCGGGAAAAGCCCCGCGTGGGGGCGGCTGCGCGTGCAGCACCGGCAGTGCGGGCGGCCGCGAGCCGCGCAGCTGGGCCAAATCGCGCGCCACGAGTGACGCTCGGCACATCGCCGAGGGCAGCCAGCGCTCCGCCTAAAGCCGGGTGTTTCACACTTAGAAGCACGCTTGCACGCGCATCTGCGATGGGAAAGGAGCCTTTTCTAGCAGACCAGAGGGGCACGGCGGGCGCTCCAGCCGCGCCGCAGGACAAAGGCTCCGCCCGGACGCTGCACCTCTCGCCCTTCCCGCTCCGTCCCTCCGCTGCAGCCGAGCGCCACCTAGGGGCAGCCCGCCGCTCTGCTCCCGCGGCCGCCCTCCGCCGGAGGAGCTCCCTCAGGTCCCCTGCCCCGCGGGCCGTGCTTCGCCGGCGGTACGTTCGCCGAGAACACGGCCCGCCCGCAGCACTGTCGGCACCGTTTGGGTGGCAGATGAGACGTGCCCCTCGCTCAGCTGTTTATGAAGCACGAAAGTGTCATTTTACAAGCATCAATATTGAGGAAAGTCAGCGGCCCGTTCCTTCCCGCCGACAGCTGGAAGCGGTTCTGCTCAGCTCCAGGTGGAGATGCCGGTGCAAAACCAAATGCTGCTGCTAAATGCAGTGCTCTGGTTGAACCTCCACGGGGCAGATGTTGCTTTCCATGAGCCCACCCGCTGGCCCCGGCAGTGGCAAAGTACTTCCTTCAAAGCACTCATCAGACACAGCAGGGATAGCTGCGGGGCTGTGCTGTGCTCTGGGACCACAAAGCAGCAGGAGATGCAGCTTGCCTCCAGTTTGCATCCAAATCACAGCAACGAGGTGCCAAACACCGCAAGGCCAGACCAGCACAGAACAGGCCAGACGTGTGTCCCCATCACCATGTCCAGGCAATGGCCCTGTGCCTCCTTGGTTTGGAGGAAAACAGAGGGTGATTTTTGAAGCACTGAGATTTTCTCAGTGCAGGACACTCTGCAGCTCCAGTGCCTCAGGCAGGTGAGGACCACACTGCAGGGTAACTGAGAGGAGCAGCCCCACAGCTTTGACCTTTGGTTGTGTCGCTCCACTGTGCCCTCTGGTAATGCAGTGGCACTGGTCAACCAGGAATGGTCCCTGGGTGACTGCTGTGAACTAAGCCCCATTTGGGATTGCAGCTGTTTGTCCATCATCTCTCACCAGGAGGGAGCTGTGCTTCTAAATGACAAACAAGAGGGGAACCAGATGGGATATTTTCCAAAATGCATCCCTGCCTCAGCATTTTCCCAGAGACATCTCCTCTCCTGCACTAATGGCTGCAGGAAAAGCAAGAGGAACTTCAGCTCTCTAATAACATTTTTGGGCTTCAAATCCCCCATAATTAAAAAAATACAGATGATTTCAGCCCAGCTCTGTGTCTCAAAGATAAACATTGCTTTCTTTCCCCAGCGGCCCCTACACAAAGGAAAAAGAGGCAAGAGGTTGAACCGAGCTCTGAGAGCTGCTGAGATGCTTTGTTTGGGGTTTATTTGCTCTGGGCTACAGCGGCCTCCTTAAAACAAAGGCCAACCCCACACACACGTATGGAGAATAAAGCGCCAGTGACATTTTTAACATTACCCACGAAAACTTCCCTGGAATCCATCCCTGGTGTCCCCAGACATATGGTTTTGTTTCTTCTTTCATTCACACACACACACCCCATCAGAAAAAGGAAAACCAGCCCCAAATGTGCATCCCCAGCGGTGCTGCTGCTCTGTGCTCAAGGGGCACCAAGCTGAGCCGTGCTGCTGCACTCAAAGCCACCAAGTCACAATGCAAGCACAATGCCCACAGCTGTGCTGGCTGTTACAGCTCCATGTCGTGTTCTTACTTAGCTGTCACCACCTCTGCTTTCAGATAATTTGCACTGGCACTAATGCAATTACATTCTAATGATTATTTGCTTCTAGACTTAGGATGCACAGTGCAAGGGTTTGCTGTGTCAGAGTCCACAAAGCAGGTTTGAGGAGGAGAAGGAGGGAGGTCTCCCATGTGTGATTTAGAAGGATGAGCTCACCCTTCACCATGATCCTGAGCTTACTGGTAGCCAAGGCCAGGGTGTGGAACAGAGAACCAAGCTGCTCTTCTGTTCCTGCTCCTCTTCTCTTTCCTTTGTGACTTTGTTCCCCTTCACACCCCATGTTCCTTCCAAAGCACCTCTGCAGAGCCTCCCCCTGGGCAGCAGGAGTAGGATGTGGGACAAGCAGTCATCACCAGGCCCCAGCCACCCTGACCTTTCCGAGTTTTACCCCTCTGAGGCCGAATTACCCATGGTGCAGAACTGGGAGAAACAGGATCTGCTTTGAAAGAAGGGCTGGAAGTCTTAATTCCTAATTAGCCGGTTGCTGGCACTCAGCAATTACCGCCGTATGGCATAGCCCAATTATGGTACTATTAACTTTAGTTCTCTGGAAATTCAGTGATTAATAATACTAATAATTCTGCTGACCTCAAAGTAATTGCAGAACATTAAAGGAGAAAACTGTTTCTAATTAAGCAATCCTCAATCCTTCTGCTTTCTCTATTTTTTGGAAGCTCCTGGTGCCTCTCGTCGGGCCGTCATTGCCCCGGGGATGGGACTGGCAGGGGACAGGGTAGGCCCAGGAAGCAGCTTTTTCCCCCAAGAGGCGACATTCCTGGAACAATATGGCATTTAAAAACCAGCCTGTGTGAGCCATAACCACACACCCTGCATCCAACTACTGATGGCTCTGGCATCCTGCTGAACGTGTGCATGTAGATCTACATGCAGGCCTTACACTTCAGAGGCTTGCACTTCTCTTGGCAAAGGATCAGTGGAGGTTTCCCCCAGAACTTTTCCTCTAACACACCAAGTGAAGATTATCTCCTTCAGTCACTTCCCTAGATCTAACCACCACCCTGAAGGAGCCTTTGCAAGGCCAGTCCTTTGCTGCCATCACATTTTACTCCTTGCAAAATTCAGAGCAGTGTTCCTAACTATATAATGTGCATCCGCTTTGTTTTTCTTGGGGAGCAGGAAGGGAAGGCAAAAAATCTGCTCCTACAGAGGTCAACCTTTTAATCTTTTTCTCCTTTTCTAAGGCCCGAACCTCGTCATGCTGAGGGAGACGCATTTACTGTGATGCACCTGGGACAGATGTACCTGGGACAGCCTCTGAAGGATGGTGATGTCCAAGAGGGCAGGTCAGCACATTCCCAAGGGAGACCAGGTGATGTGGAAACCCAAACCAATGCTGCACAGAGCCCAGTCAGCCCGAGCTCACTGCGAGCTGTTTGGCAGCAGCTTCCTCCCAGCTGGGCTGCTACCAGGGTGCTTGTTGCAAAACGTCCAAACACTCTGCTCACACCCATTTGCAGATGGGCCACAGTTGGTTTGCTGAATAAGCTGGCTATTAGCAAGCTTCTGTAGCTGCACTGGGTTTTTGTTCTGTTTTTGGATGGGTTTTTCGGGGGTCTTGTTTCAGCTCTGGCATGCCAGAGAGATTTACAGAAACAACATCAAAAGCCCAAAAGTGCAGGGGATATATGCACTAAGCTGACCAGCAGCCTCCAGATTTGTCAAGCTGCTATTTATTAAAGCACTGGCAACCAAGGGTGGCTGTAACTATGTTAAGATCAATTCCAAAAGTCAACAGTGAAAAAATGCATCCATGCATCCAGTGACCACTTTCAATAAGCTTCCTTCCCCACAACCCCTGCTCCTTCCCCCTCGCAGCGTGATGGGAGAGGAAAAATAAATTGGAGGCCAAAAAAAAAAAAAAAGAAGAAAGGACCAATACCTGAACAGAAAATATGTTGGTCTACTGGAGGCTGACATGTAGAACATCCACGGCTTCAGGTTAGACGTGGGCTTCTGAAAAGCACTGCAGCAGCCAAAGGAGAGACGATGGGCAGAGGCTCTGCAGCTGCAGGCTGCTGTAAGCTGTGCTGTTGGTCTGACGATTGAACGAGGGAAGTCTGCAGCTCTGTGTGCAGCTGCAGGACTGCTCAGAGAGAAATCCAACAGTGACGGTTGAAGGAAGAGACTGGAATGAACAACTACTTTATCTTGCAAAATCTGCTATCGGGTGAAAACATGAAGACGGATGCATGCGGCAGCAAGAATTAGATGAGGTGATTATGTTCATTTTATGGTCAATAAGGTCTTCATATTTAGAAAATCAATCATAAAACAAGCTGATCAATGGAAAAAAATTGAAAACACAGGATCTGTTAAAAACACACAAAATACTTTTATAGCTAGCTACAAACATAATGACAGACACTTATAAAGTATCTATATATATATTTAAACTTAATTTTTCTTTCTTAGAATTAGAGCTACCATTATCTTCAAAGACTTCAGGACTGTTTCAACAGTTGAATTACAAGACAGCTCGGTCAGAAATTACAAAATAAGCTGGGTTTAAATAAAGAGGGAAAATAATCCACAAAACTCACTTCAATATAAATTTATATTAAAAACATCATTCTCTCGATGCATTTTCTGAAGTTGTGAAATGTTGAACTTCTAGAATTTCGATCTGTGCTTTGTTGGTTTGGACTCAGGAGTAAAGCAGTTCACTGCTCACTTGTTTCTGGCCGTTCAGACCGCAGGTCTGCTGAAAGGGAAACGGGCTTTCAGCCATTTCCCCCACTGAGCTGCTACTCTGTGACCGGAGACTCGAATCCCAGGGCAGAGTCCTGACCAACACCCCTCTGGGGATCCGTCCTGCTCTGCAGGCAGCAGAAGCCATGCTGCAGCTCAGAGTGCAAACAGCAGCTCTGGCCCTGCTCTCTCCAGAGGCAAAGCTCAGACACCGCGCTGCTCCCACTGGTGCCCAGTTATCTAAGCATCACCACTGCTGATGCTGAGCAGAGACCATGCTGAGCAAAAGCAAGTATTCAAACACCTCAGAATTTGGAGTAACACAGGGATTCTGCTTGAGTTAGAAGGGAAGGCGGTTGTTTTTTCCTTAAACCTCAATAGTCTAGCACAGCCCTCAGAGTAGAGTTAGACACAAAAGTGCAAAGCAGATGGGTTTCAATGCTTCCGAAAGCCTCAAAATGGTGTTGTTGGAAGTCAGACTCTAAAACAAACTTAGGGTAAAGTCTTTTTGAAAAGAAATGTATTTTCTTCATAAATACAGTACAATTACATTTTACAATGTCTTTTTACTTTCTAGACATAAGAATGCTAGCTTTTAAAAAACAGTTCCTATACAAATACATGGAAGAGAAGCCCACCCCACAGCCCCCACCCCAGCCTGAGCCGCGCCAGCCCCAGAGGCAGGGGATGCCCAAGCGCCCTGGAGCTTTGCTGTCCTCACTCCCCCATGTGGCCACCATTTTGTAAGCAATGGAAGAGCACATCCTTTGGCCACAGTTACCAGGATTTGCCACATGGGTACCAGCAGTGGCTCCTATGCTCTGTCCTGACTCGCGGATGCGGTCGGCACACTCAGCACGGGATCACGGAGCAGGAGGTATCCTTGGAAATTATTCTGGCCTAAAGCCCCGCAAGTTCCCTTCTCTCAGGCAGCCTCAAAATCAAAGCAAAGCTAATGCTAGGGCCTCACATTCTTCCGATTGCCTGCAGAGGCACAGGCCACACTGCATTTCAGCTCCCTGCCAGTCTTTGCTTACCTCAGCCACCCCCTGCAGCCTCCTGGGGAGCAGCTCGGATCCCCAGGGATCCCCCAGACCTCAGACAATGACAGCTGTAGACCAGGAGCTGCCAGAAAGGAGCTGCTCAGAGTTAACAAGGAGACTGGGACAGCTGGGAAGAAAAGCTTCCCAACCCCAGCCTGCCCCCTGAATATCACATCTCAAAGGAACTGCCCGAGGAAAGGACTTGTGAGTTTGGCCATTCTGTAAGTAGGGAAAGGAAAGAGGAAAAGTAACTACACTTGATTTTCTTGTTTTGCTCTACAAAGAAGAATATGTGGCTTTTTTTTTTTTTTTTTTTTTTTTTTTAAGAAAAGCTACAATTCTGCTTCTAATATCCGAGTTTAAGAAAAACTCTTAGTCTAGAATTTTGGTTTGCAAAGAAAGTCATTGCAATCACTGTGTTAAAAATCACATTCTACTAGAAACAAGCTCTACTGAAGAAAAAGGATCTAGGTGTGCAGTTTGTCTCCTTAAAGCGGTTTCTGTTTAAAAACAAAATAAAAATCTGTACAGGGAGACTGAGGACTATAGTACACATCTTCCTCAAAGAAAGCAGCGCTATTACATTCACATGAGGGTGGCTCTGAGGAAGCTCGAGGGGAGGACTACATTCCTGATGGCCGTGTTTGTCAGCTCAGGAAGATGACCTCAAACTTCCCTGTCAAACGTTTTGGGGGTTTTGTTTTTGGGAGAAATCAGAACCATAAAGTAGGGCAAAGAACTCAGCTGAAGGAATGTGAAAACGCATCATTTGCTTCCAGATTGGCTTCCATTAGCACAGAACCACTGAGATCACTGCAGTCCTGATGGCATGGACTGTCAAAGAGCACCTGGCTGCCCTGTCCGGAGGAGACAGCCACTGTGCAGAATCTATCCTCTTATCTCCTATTTTTTGTTTGTAAAAATAGGATGTGGTGGAGTTCAGTTTGAAACCAGTGAGTGACAGAGAATAAACAAACTATTTTACCTAGCCCAGCCAAACAGCCAACACCAACTGTGGAAAAGCAGAATGACAAAACACATTGTATCAATAAATGATCAGAATGTTCCTAGACACTGTGGAATCAATGAGAATCAAGTGAGCTGGAACTGTTTGTGCAGAGCCCTGCAGGTGCAGAACTTCTTTCTAACTGCTAAGAAACACTTGTAAAAATGGAATGTCACTTTTCCTGACTTTAAAAGAATAGAAAAAACACTTTTTCCCTCCTCTCTCACAGATATCCCAGTGGCATCCCATCTCCCTTATTGCTCAGTCTAAGCCCAAACCACAAAATATAATACAGAAAATGATGCTGAAATGGTAGAAAGATGAATATAGTGGCCTAACAAGAAAAGCTTCTCCTGCATTTCCAGCAATTGCAGAGGAGGAAGAGAAATCACTCAAAACCATCAGAGTGAGCACTACTTCATATAATGGGATGAAATTAAGTCAAGAGAAATAAACATAAGGAATGAGAGCAAAGAGGCTGTAAGCAGTTTGTCTAGAAAGGGGTGGAGAATTAAATCAAACTGATTATTAGAATACCCTTAGGAAAGGTCTACTGTATGCTGCAGAGCAGTGTGGACCCATTAGGAAGAGGCAGTCCAAGCCTTAAAGTGCAGCTCTGAAGCACGTCACGTGGCAGAGATGGAAGGGAGACTGGGCAGCCTGCTAGAGAGATCACTGGTAATTCCAGGTCACTTAGCTTTCGCCTGAATTTTGTACATAATATGCATTTTGCCAACTGACTTCTGGGGGTTAGGCAGGCTGAGGAATACCAACAAGCAGGAGATTTGCTAGAAGCAACAGGAACTGTTTGCCTTGCTTTTCCAAGTGACTGTCACTGGGGAGGACAAACAGAAACCAACTCAGGGCTGACTGTCAGGCACTGCTACGTTACCTGTGCAGCAGGGAGAAGGCACTTCCCTTCAGCTCACACCCCTCCATGGTAACATTCACATTACACCTGTTGAATGGTAAGGCCATTTCAACTGGACACCTTATCAGTAGTGTCAGCTACGTAGGAATTGAGGACATTCACTAGCTGTTGGATGATTAATTGATGATTTTCCTTTTTTTCTGAAGTGAAATGATCTGAAATAAAAATCTGGCTACTCTAATGATGTCCAGAAAGCTGAGGCTAGCCAGGTTGCAGACCTGTGACTACTGGCTAATTAAACATTTTAACATTCAAGTAAAAAAAAAAAAAAAAAGACAAAAAGATTTTAATAGAAATTAATATTGAACTGTTTTAATAAAATGCAAAGACAGTAAGAAAAATACTTAAACATTTACGTCTATTGGTCTTAGTATTTCCTTACAGCATCTGCAATCAAAGCAGTGCTGTATTCTTGCTAGTCCCCAAGGATCTGAGAACCTGACAATTAGAATGTGTAACTTCCTTCTGTAATGCCTCTTGGTCTTTATTTAAGCTGCTTTCTTCAGTTAGTTAAAGAATATATATTTTGGAAGGACAGAATTTGCCATCTGAAACTTTACACACAGCTCTTGTTTAAACCTCTACCTCGGAGGCTTTGCTATGTAAAAAAGAATCTATTCTCTCTCCCAGAACAAAGGAGGGCATGGGAAGTAAAGAAAAACCTGCTAAGGATGCAGTAGGTTAAGTTGTAACACTGGAAAGCAACAGGGCTTGCCACTTGCACTACTGTAAACCGGGGGAAGCTCCACTAACTCCAATGGAATTACAATGGCAGAAATCTGATCTAACAGATCAGGACTGAGTCAGCAAAATGTCCTTTTTTCATTTATGTAAAACATGAATGCAATATATTACTTACTATCCACTGTATAAATTATTGAACAAGTACTTACGTATAAGACTACGGCAACTTTTTCGATGCAAACTGAAAATGTGAAATGTTACATTAATCACTGGAGTCTTTTTGTTGTTGTTGTTGTTGTTTTTTTTTTAAAGACATAATACAATCTGGAAAAAAAAGTTACCATACTGAAAATGGAAATCTTTCCAGGTTATGAATGACAAATACCTATTCTTACCCAGAGTGAAAAGATAAACTCCTGTGATCATAGCTCATATTTATGAAAGCTCCTCAGCTTGAGAATACTTGCATCCTGGAGCCATCAAGTGATGCTTCCAAATAAGACCCTGGCTCCATCACTACAAGCCCAATCTGCCCCTCTTACTGTGTTCACATTGGACAAACAACCAACACCTATGAGAGTAGGTACTTCTGCTTAAGAGACGACTTTAAAAATACTGATATGAAATATAAGATGTAGTGCACCTAAGTTATTGATTTTTATCCAGGCATTACCAGATCCAGTATTCAACAAATAAAGGGGATACTTTCAAATAACAAGCACTGTGGATTTTTTTTTTTTTTTTATAATTTAGAACAAATTATAAATTAACCTGTCCATACTTTTGAGACATAATATACAAGAGCAAACAGCTGAGTGTTCTTTTATTACTCAGGTACTACAATTTTTTCCCAATAAAATTGTCTTTTAAAAAAATTCTTGCTATTGAATCCGAGTTCAGATCCGGTACGGGCTTTCAGATGAGGTATTCTACCATCTCTCCATCTGGGAGGTCCTGCCCCATGGTTTGAACAGGGGCTTTTCTTTCGAGAGTACTGGAGTGGAAGAGTGGCCCATCTACGTGATGAGGGAAAACAAGAGAGACAATAATAGCTATAACTTCAATCACAGATGAACTGTGAGCACAGGATCAGAAAAGTGAGGTTAACATTGTAAGCCATCTTCTGTCATTGGCCAAAAGGCAGCTAACAACTTATTGGTTAGTTAGTAAAACCCACTATTCTAAAATACGTCAGGTATTTTCTGAAATTCCCTTTCAGCATCTCTCATGGATACACAACATCATATAAAATGGGAGAAATTTCATTTAAACTAATGCAGCTAGTGTACACTTTCACCACAAACAAAATCTGTTCCCCTGCTTCTCTCAATGCAAGATGCGCAGCAAACCAGCCAAATTCACTCTTCCATAAAGAGCAACATAATTGCAATGTGTCTGCAAGTAGAAGAGGCAAGGTTGTATAATCTGCATTGATTTGGCAGAGTGGACTGGAAAACGAGCAGTTCTTGCCAGCTCAGAGCTCTGTGGGAAGCAAATTCAGCCTCTGTGATAGTCACTGTCAACATGATCTACTTACACCACTGCTGAAGTTGGCCCTGCAATGGGACAGTGTAATAACGAGACAGCTTTATCATGGTAGTTACCCTTCCTTCTTTGGTCTCCCCCTTAACTGAGTCCACTTTGCTCTGAAAACTCACTAAAACCTGATGGCCAGTTTCTACAGCTCATTTTCATATGCTATTTAAAGCCCACAGACCACCCTCAACTTACTTCAGAGGAGACTTGCCCATATACCTGCTCCAACTCTGAAATCACGCTGTACTTCTCTACTCAGTGTGTCCATGCTTATCGCACCACTCTGAAGGCATTATTTTTTTCTTCAGAGTGTTTGAGATTTCTCAGAACAGGGCTAATTCTTGCCTCTGAAACCCACAACAAGTAAACCCAGCTTTCCCGAAGAGAAGAAGGGACAGCAGAGCCTGCCCCATGGAGCAGAACAGTCAGTGAGCCAGTGGCACAGGGCCCTCTGGGAGAGAAGCTGAGCTTCCTTACCTGTTTTGTCAGCACTATAGGGCAGGCTGGCAGTGGGGAGCCGTGCTGGTGTGGGGGCTCCAGGGGAAGGTGCAGCTTTGCTTTGCTCGTTGCCTCGGTCAGTCTGGGTGCTGCAGTCCCGGCTGCCTGTTTTAGAGTGGGCTGACAGCAACGGGGTGGAAGGAAGGACAGGAGAGGGCGTGGAGGGAATGGATTCGGAACGATACTCTGTTCCCAGCAGAACACCTGTGTGGAAAAAGAGAAGGAAATTTCACAATCCCAAAAAACTAACTGGAATCAGTTCTCCCCATCTATGTAGTACTTGCTCTAGGATCTACACTTTAGCTGCCAGCTTTAATTTACCTTTCCATAGCACCTTTCACCACTTGGTGCTGAAGTACCTGAAGAGTAGCAGTGTTCTCATGTTGCTGCATGCAAAGCTAAGCGAGCTGGCTCTACCATCTTAATTCCCTGACTCTGAGCAGTTGCTCAGTTGCGGATGGATAAATCTGCACACCCTGAAATCAGCTGCAAGAGATTTTCATTTACTTATCAGAAACTTAGGGAAAGCTTATGGGTCCAACTTCTTTCCAGAAAGAAAAACATCATCTAAGATTCCCTTTGATATGATTTCCTTTCTCCAAACAATAGTGCCAAGCCATTCCAGGCAGAAGTCATGTTAGCATGGGCACAACTCTACAGGACAGCAATCCTGATTTGTGTCTCTGCTGACTGAAGGAGACTTTACACCTTCAGACAGCTGTAACAGCCCAGCTGAAAGCAAGTGCCTGGGAACTCTGAAAACCAGATCTCAAATATTGCTTATATCAGGTACCAAACCAAGTGGGAATTAAGGCTGAAAAATTTTCATGACTGAGCCTGGACATCAGAAGTCACCGCTTCCCCAAAAATGATTAAAGCAAGCAGCTGCTGCAAGTGTGTTCCATTCTGCTTGCAGGCAGTTTTCCTGCATGCTAAGCCAGTCAATCTGTCTGTCAGACATCTACCTTCTGCTGTTCCTGCCTCCCCTATAGGCAGTGACTGGTGTACCTTAATTGCCACCATTATTTAAAAATTACCTAGGCTGCCTTTCCAGCTCTTGTCCTCCCTCTTCTCTTCCAGGATGGGAGTGCTGCTCAGAGTGGATGAGTGGGACAGCAAGCCCGAGCCAGCATTTGAGATTGACATCAGTGACTTGGCAGGCCTCATGGAGGAGAGCTGGTCTGTCTTACCAGGCTCCTTCCGGGAGCGCTGCTGCAGGACTTTGATCATGGCATCCTTCTCTATGATCTGAGCGTGCAGAGTCTTGATCCTTTTTGAGAAGAACAAAGGACGACAATGTGCTTGAACTTCCATCGCTTTGGACTGAGGCCTCAGCACCCCACAGCTGTGACCTGAACTCCCCTGGGCATTCAGGGAGGCACGGAGAGGACACCCTAAATACCCTCCATGGCATAGTGTATGAGGCCTCCTGCACATGTACACAGAAAACTTCACTGAGACACCCCCTCACCTCTGGCTACTGGAAATTACTCTGAACAGGCATGGGAGAAGTTCTGAAGCAAGGCTGAGAGTTATGGGTGGGGCATGAGGCTGACAGAAAGAAAAGAAAAGAAAAAGAATATTCACAAAGTCTGGGGAGTCTGCAGTGGAAAAAGCCTGGGGAAAAACAGTGAAACAATAAAGAAGTGGCTCAAACTTGGGGTCTGATGAAGATGCCCTGAAGAGAGAGCTAGGCACGAAATCTAAATACAGATTTTGGATTGCTGTGCAGTTACTTCCTTGGCCAAACAAATGTCTGGCATTCTACAGTGTTGTAATTGGTGAAGACATGTGAACTTCTTATTCTGAGGCATCTGCCTGAATAATTAGAATCCCTGTCCTAAAGTAGCCAAATAAGAACAAACTGCATTTTACCTTCCCTCCATGTCCAGACACCTCCTGTTGGCAAGCAGGATCTCTTCTTCCTCCTTCTGAATGCGAGCTTCCAGCGAGGTGTCATAGCTAGGGTTAGGTGAGTGGCTGATCACTGTTGTATCCCTGGGAGAGAGCAGTAGAGCAGATGAAGGGCAAGCTAATCATGCTGCTTTCCTTCTAGCAGTGCTAAATGATTGCTCAAAAGTAACAAACAAGAACAACTACTGTTTCTGAGTTTAGGCTGGTTCAGTGTCTTTTGAAAATCCCACTCCCAGTCCCTAATGAAAGAAAATATGCAAATAATACTAACAGTCAACTTGCTGTCTATCTCAGGCCAGTCTATGATCTAACTGATTTACTGTGCTAACTTAAACAGATTGATGGGGCAAATCCAAGGAGAGGAACAGGAAAAGATAACATAGAATGTTAGGCACTTTTCTTCCACTGGAAAAGTACAAACTTTGCTTCAGATGCAAGGTTTTTTCCCCTTCTCTTCCAAGAAGTGGGTATCTAAGTATCAAAGGGAACTAGGCATTGAAGTTTCTTAAGTAATTCTACACAACTTGATCCAAAAAACTTAAGAGTGGGGCTGAAAACAATTTAAGATCAATTCCATGTAATGCCCAATGTTAACACTGTAATGGTTGTTCACTCGATTAACCAAAACATAATATGCCATTCTATTTGTTGCTGTACAGTCAGAATGAAGTCACTGTACTATGCTCTAAACCACTGTATGATTCCTAACGCTTAGGAGCATGTTACTGACATAGCTGTGTTAACACAGTAATAATTAAAAAATTAGCTGAAGTCATCAATAGCTGCAATTCATTGTAATAAAAAACTTGCTCTCTTAGACCCAGCAGCCCTAAGAACTGTGTGGTAAATGCACATTTAACCCTGTAGAAGTTCAGATCAGGAACAGCAGCACAGCAGCGTGAAGGGCATAGGAAGGTCACTCATCAAAGAACCCTAACTTGACCCGGGTTCCTGCCTGTGCTGTAAAGCATCCTTCCTGCAACTCCATCTTCCTAAGGGATGCTATTTTCTACCACCAAAGAAAAAGGAAAGCAAATTCGTGTGCAGTGTAGATGAGGTTACCACTGAAATTAGTGAAATCCCTTACAGCCTGTTGTTGAGAAGGCTATAATAAACAGCATGTAAACTGGCAGCAGTACTGATGGAACAGTTTATTTTAAGGGAGAAGGAGCTAGAAGGAAACGGAAAAGTAGAGGTTTGCTCTTTCCTGACTGGAAAGCATTCTTTGTTCTTTTAACAAAACCTAAACAGTCCTAACACATCCCCTCTCATTCCACGATAAACAATAGACCAGACCCCTATTTATCAATGCATGCTGAAAATATAACATAGCCTCCAGGGCCAAGCAGCATCAAGAGCCTTTAGAGAATCTCTAGGGAGGCAGAAAACAGTTCACAAGAAACTCAATACCCCAAAATAACAGCCTGCTTGGGGAGCAAGGTAAGTCTTCAAATGCTAACACAGCAGATCTGCAACTTTCCCCCTGTAATTTCAGTATGATCTTATGTGCTAGGAAGCCAGCTGTGATAACATCCCTATTTGAATCTCGTTCGTGAAACAATCTAAAATAAAATCTGCTGTTAAGAGACAGAAACTAGTGATCAATGAAATTACATGTAAGCACTACCTGAAGTTAAAGAGCTGCTCTCCAATAACAGCACTTGTTTACCAGCTAGCTGAAGACTTGGGCCTATTTATAACCATAATAACTGCTTCTATACAGCTGCATTGGAATGTGAGCTTGTTACCCAATTTCAGACACCCTTCCCTTCCCCCTCCCACAAGAACTACTCTCCACACACAACAGAATGTTTTGAGCAGAATTTCCTAGTAGATGTTTCTGGTTAGTAACCATGTTGAGGACAATACCACAAAGTGATTTGCAAAAACATTCTGGAGAACAAGCAAGCCATTCAGGGAAAATGATGTGAATCACCAATCTCACCCCATCCCACATGACTTCAGCAAGGACTGACTCCTGTGTGAAAAGAAAAAAAAAAAGAAAGAAAAAAACAACCCTCCTCACACATCTACTTTTGAAGCAACAGCTTCTAGGAATGGCTTAGGACAACTCTAGTCTGGAGAATGGCTCTGGCATGTGGTGGAACCTTCCCTTGCAAAAACGCTTCTTACAGTTAACAGTCACACAGCTCCCAGGAAAAGCAGCCACGCTCCATTTGTATGCAGAGGTTTGTGAAGATGTGCAGACCACAAGGAGAGGTATTGTGGGAAGGTGATGTGACAACACTGTTTTGTGGAAAACACTGTTTTGTGGAAAATATGACATCCAACAGGAAAAAGAAAATAATCCCTGTACTGTGAATAGTTTAATTTACCTCTGAGCAGCCACAGTTGCAGCTGCATCTAAAGCAAACTGTCTCATCACACTCTCCTCCAGGTACTTCTGTTCCCACTTGGTCATGTCAGCTTCCAGAGCAAGAATCCTTTCTTCCTTCTCACGCAGGAGTTCCATAAGCGCTGTGGCATTGTACTCAGAGACGTTGGCAGCCTGAGATGTACCCTGACGCTGATTGTGAAACACAAAGCAAAGAGAAGTTTCAGGATGCACGTGTTAGACTCAGGGTTGGTTGGTCTGCTTTTCTCTGAGTGGCAGGGGCTGGTGCAAGAACCCCCCAGAGTGAATTTGCAGTGGCTATGCCACTCGAGGCAGTCTGGCCTAATATACCTCCCTACGTCCAAACCTGGAAAAAAATGCAATGCAAGCCAGGCTCCTTCTATATCCACATGTTGAAGCTCAAAAGCCATAAAATACCAAGAACTGCTCCCAAGAAAGACAACTTAAGTCACAGCACTTGTGGTAGAGCACTTCTTTGTGCTACTCCAGAGCTGGTAACACTAACAAGTGGGTATCTGAGATGGAAAATACTCCTTAAGGCTTTTTTCCACGTGCAAAGCCACAAGAACATGTCAGAGAGCTGGATATGCTCCTCAGGTCTGATGTCTCTAGCCCGTTCTCACTGCCTAAAGTAATCACACTTACATCCATTCCAGCAAAACAGTAACTAGTGTACAAGATTTATCAGTTTTAAAAAAATCCAAATATTTTTATAGCATTTGAATACTAAATCAATATGATCTTTGTATACCTGTGGACTAAGTAGCTGGTGGTTAAAAATAATTTAGTTCTAACAGAAGATCTGGAAGACAGACAACCTTTTCTCATAAGTCAATATTAAAAAAAATGGAGATCTGCTGTGCTGAAAGTTCAAAGATAAAATGCATCTTATCTGGGATTTGTGTGACACTTGACTTGAAGACAAATTGGGCAGGTCATCCGCTTTACATTCGGCTCCGAATTCTTAAACCATGACAAGAAAGTTAATTTTTTGCTTTGACTAAGGCTCAAAATCAGAAGTTGGGCGTTCAGATTACTTCCTCTTCCAAAGGTAGCATGGAAGAAAATTTACCAAATTATGTTAACTACCACTAAAAGCACTACAAAATATAATTATAATGTAAATATCTGCTCCTACACAGATATGGCAGTTGAGGACCAAATTTAAACTAAACATAAATTAGATTATAGGTGAACTGTCGGGTTTGCAAGTTATTCTGGAAATATGATGCAGGCCTACATTGGATGCAAGCTGAAATAAAACTAAAACCTCCCACCCAATTTACAACGCCTCTGCACAATCTACTTCTCATCCATTTTTTTTCCCCCACTGAAAAAGACTCACGCTACAAGAACATATTCTACATGAAGCTCCTGTTTCCAACAACTGCATTTACAGAACTGGTTTTGTGGTTTTGGCAGTTTTGTGTACGTTTTTTTTTTTTCTTCATATAAAAGTTTTTTGAAGGGCCTTTCATTTCAGTCCAGTTGTTACTGACTTTTACTTAAAATTTCAAACTGTAAAGAATATTTTAAGAATAATATAAGAATTAATAAGAATAATACAACCAGGTTGCCTAAAATTACAACACCATCTAGCTGTATGGCTCTCTTATCACAGGATGCACAGACTGTTGCTCTTTTATCTAAATTTTCTGGTTAGAAAGAAATAATAAATCAAGTCAAAACAGAGGCCAACATAATCGTTTCCAAAAGAAAAAATTTGCTGATTTTACAAGATGAAAAAAAAACACTGCCTTTCTTTTGCACATGTTGTAGTGTCAAATCCTACAAGAAGCCTAGCCAGGGCCCAGAGAAAGACAGGATACCTGCTGCATCCGGAGAGATTCCAGCTCTCGCTCCAGCCGGGTCCGCAGCCTATGCTCCAGCTGTTCCCGTTTCTCACACGCTGCCTGCAGCTGAACCAAGGCCTGTTGCATCTTCTCCACTTTCTCAACATAGACCTGCTTCTTTTTGAGCTGAAACAAAAAGAAAAAAAACATAACATGAGTTAAATAAGGGGAACTTTTGGCTCTGTATGCCTTGCAGAACACAGCACTAGCAGCCAGAAGGATCACGTTCACATTACTGCTGTCAGGGTAACCTGGACTCCAAACAAGCCTGCTGTTACAAGCCCTTCCCATCTCCACTTTCCTGCTAGGTTTATTTCTCCTTCTTGTCCTCAGCATCCCCATGGTAGTGATGGGGAAACTGAGGTATGGATCTACTGTGAAAGACTGAGAGCATTAACAGGCTGGGAAGGGCACCTAAATTGGTGACGAAGGCATTTAAGTGAGTTGGTGCATGCTATTGAGGTACCTGTAGCAAAGACAGCAAATAGAGCTGGCCTGCTGTCATGGTTTGAAGAGTTAATCACGTGACACTCATCCCTCCCCTAGGGAGAAAGGGGGAAAAGGAAGAGGGGAAAAAAAACAACTGAGATAAGAAAAACCGATTTACTAAAAGGAATGCAAGATAATACAGAATAATTAAGCGTAATAAATCAAAACGAACCAAAAATAAAAGCAGAGGAGAGAGAATCAGTCTGAGTCTTTATCAGCAGCCCCCCACAGCTCGCATCCCAGAAAAGACAAGAAAGCTTTTCCCCCATCACCCAGGATTGGAAATCATGTGGAGGCTCCTGGGAAATGCAGCACATCCCAGTGCATCTTCCTCTTGGAGAGTCAGAACTCATGAGAAACCAGGAAACACAGCTCCACAGTGCACTGTGCCTCTGCACACAACAGCCTGCCGTGGGATGTCATGATCTGGAATACCAGGACACCTACAAGTTGGGAACAGCTTTTTCAGTGTAACATTGAAAGCTACTGGTGGTATCCTATTCCAGCTGTTCAACACTAGAATAATGAACAAGATGAAAGCACGTATAGAGGCAGCCTGGCTTATGCTGGCAGTCCTGGCATTCACCTACCATCTTGGCCTGCTGTGAGCTGAGGGGGCCTGCTCCATCCCTGCCACTGCTCTCCATTGCCCATCCTGCAAACAACTGCTATGCTACCTCACCACAACAATGAAAATTTCAGTGCTGAAACCCCAGGAACCATCTCAGCAAGGTCAGTTCAGGGGTCACACAGAGCAGAAATGAACCAAAATGTGAATAAAATATGAATAAAAAGCCAGAACCAACCCCAGGCCTAACTCTGCTCCAACAGGCAGAATACTGCACACTTAGGGACATAGTTTTCTGCTAAGGAAATTATTATGAAAATTGCAATTAGCCGACCTTCCACAGCAAACCCAGGGCACTGCTTTTTTAGCTGTGAATGTCATAAAGTCTGAAATACAAAGTAGTAGGAAGAAGGCAACTTTTCCCAACAGCCACAACCAAAGCCTAGCGTAGCAGCACAGCACAAAACGGATTCTCTTACGCAGCTTCAAAGGCTGCTCTACAGCCTCATGGAAGAAAAGTCCATTGAGAGATACTAAAGAACATTACTTTGCGCTCAGGAAGTCCTTCTTGGAATTGGAAAGTATTCTGGGAAAGTACCATTTGTTGGTCCTATTTATGCGTTCCCTAGGAATCTGCTGGAAGTTATGGTGCAAACAGGATACCAGGCTTGTGGGGCTTTGATCAGAATGAAATGAGTTGTTCTCACATTGTGCCTTCCCTCCGGAAAGGTCTTATCACGTGTTTCTTCAAAATCTTCCCTTTTCATACTCCTATTCCTTGAGGCAACCCAGAGACTGCGGAGAGAGAAGTCTCCAAACACTATTAATCCCAGACATGGTATCCCTTTCTTCTCTTCCTAAAGTCAGCAGGCACCTAACCTCACAGCATGAATGCTGCTGCCCTAGAGGATTTTCCCCAAACAGCTATTTTATAATAAAAGTTACAGTAATAAGTGAGTAATCCAGCCAAAGGCCTTCCCACCAGTGCATGTACAGTAGAAAGGTATTTTTATGCTTTGATTGCTCAAGATTTCAAACTCGTTTGGGAGGGGAGGGACAAAGACATTTTAAAACAACTAAAGAGTCAACTGCTGCTCTGCAGAAAATCAATGAAAATGTTACATTTAATAGATCTTTTTATTCCAGGTCTTAGCTGATTTACGACTCCAATAAGTACAGCAGTGTTACAGTCTGATTAACAGTAGCTCCAAGTAGTTATGTAGCTAGGCAGAAATGACAACCCATGAGTCTGCAGCAGAACCAGGACATGGCGAGTGCCTTGGCATTACATGGGAGCCTGCTTACCTGCACAAGAGTAAGAAATGACTCAATCAGCAGAGAAATACTGTGCATCAAGCAGAACAATAAGTGAAAACATGATCTCCCACTCTTCTGCGCACAGAATTAAGGGCAAGGGGGAAGGACAGATCTTTGGTTTCTCACTATCTACTGCCAAGTGCTTAAAACTCTGTTCAGTCTTCTAACACAGTGTAAGCACGCTTTGCAAAAGGTACCCGACAATACCATTTTCCTAGTTTCATAATTAATGAACCTGAGAACATATACAGGTGGATTAGCTTTTTGGCAAGCATTCAAAGAATAGCAAGCACCCAGCCAAAAAAGAATTAGGACACAGAAATTCCGCTGAAACGTTCACTTCATAAGTGCTCCCATCAGCCGAACCTGCAGGTGAAACGTTGCAACACAAGCTGTTGCCCAACTTAATTGCACTGCCTGCACATGCCTAACTCATGCACCAGACCTAAAGTACAGGCACAGCTTGTTTCGTGGCTTTTCATACAGTCTTTTTATTCCCCCTCACAAAATGCACTTCAACTTCCTGCATCAACAGAAATTGTGAACGTGAGAAAACTTAGGGCTTTTGCGTATTCTTTTTTGAACACAGAATTAACTCTGATTTTATCTGTCCTCTTGATGTAAAGAGGACCAGAAATAATTCTTCCAAGCACAGAGGGATTTCATTACCATAAACTGACAGTATGATCGTGTTTTCCTAAGACAGGAATTGGAAACAGAATTTCCTATCGCCAGTGTGCTGCAGACATAAGAGAGATGGGAGGAAGGAGAAAAGCCAACACGCTGAGGCTTGTTCCTGGTCAGCTGCCAAGGATTCCCCACCCTCACTCACACAGCAGAGAACCCAAACTGGCTGCTGTGTGCCAAGGGCCACGGTAACATCTACCACAGGGGAGATGGCATCAAAGGACGCTGGAATTCCTTCTTCTGCAACAGACCTTGCAGTGAACACGTGCTCTAGATAAGAATTCATTCCTGAAGCTTTACAAGGATGCAGTCACACCCTTCCATCTATAATTTTAAACAAATTTGACAAGATAGTAATTTTCCTTTTGATGGTACCACATTTAACTAAGAAGCAAGCTCATGCACACATAATGTATTGTAACTATTTTGCCTTGAAGGGTGCTGTGAAAACACAGAGCATTTTATTTATAATAATATCTTTATTATAGCATCTCTGGAAGACCATACGATCTCAAATAACCTCGGTGCATGTCTGGAAGCAAAGCAGTGCACTTTGGCGTGACTACGTTCCTTCCCAATGTTTCCTACAGCATATGGCACAAGTCTATTAGTGCAGATAAGTTCTCATGGTCAGTCTGTGACTATGCTAGAAAACATCTTAGTGAGGTATCAGAAGCCAAGCTTTATCAACAAGATGTTCTAATTAAATCATTTAGAACAAGAGCAGTCACTCTCCAGTTCACATCCACTGTGATGTTCACAAGACCGAGGATGAGAAAAATAAAGGAAAGCAATGCTGCAGAAGTCCATAGCTTTGGTTTTGATGCAGGGGATCAAAACCACGATGCAGGGAATATGCCTAGAAAGACTCCCTGGCATCCTGATCAAGCATTTCTGTTTTCATTTCATTTCTCCTCTTCCTTGTCAAGATTGCTCTCTGCAGTTGAGAGGCAGCTAGGAGAAGCAGGATACACCTGGGATTCAAAGGCTTTGTTGCTCTGAGTCTGGCTGACCTGAACAGCAAACTGTCTCCAAGTTAGTCAGAAAGATTTACAGTCTGAAAATGTCTGCACACCAGTAGCCCTGAACTGTGGGGCTTCCAGCAATGGAAAATGAATCAACCACTATAAACATTCAGGAATGAAATGATTAAACAAATGCATTCACTAAACCTAGAAAACTGAAACTTGTCATAAGAATTTTTCTGCTGAAGAAAAGATTTCTTAAGATGATGTAATGCTTGGCAGAAGACAACGTGAAGGTTTCTCTGCTACAGAGAGCATTTGCATGGTCTAAAAACAAGGGTCAAGGACAAGGTGCTCCTATCAGAATTGGACAATTATTACTCTGTCCAGCCAAAAAGGGATTAACATTCTAGAAGTCCAACCAACTCTGTCCTCCTTCACTGAAGGTAGACTTCTCAGTAAAGTCTTCAGCAAAACACACTACTGCTGTTAGGGATCCTGGTCCTTGCAGAAGAAAAGGCTCTGAAGAAGGCATGGAGGTTTCATGCACACAGTGCACAGAGCAGGGGTATGCAAGGATATGCAGGGATGAGCAATTTTCACTGCAAGTCGCTGGATGCAAGGGAGGCAAAGGCTGTAACATCCTCCAGACTGGAGCTGCCTCTGCAGTACAAATGTGCTCCTGGGCAAAGCAGGTGAGGGGGAAGAAAAGAACTTCTTTTGCAGAGAGATTCACCACTTCCAGATGCGTTACTGAGCACAGAGTTTTTTTGAGGAAGAAGACTTCCTGTACGGCTAGCAATGATTCAGAAAGCCTCCCAGGCACTCTGACAAACCCTTCTTCTTCATCTTGGACAGCTCCGATTTCACCAAATTGGTAACACTTGCCAGCATCTGCTCATCTCCCACCCACTACTTCTGATGTCTTCAAAGTCCTTTGTTTAATATATTCAGGGTGTTTTCAATACATTCTGGACTTATTCTAAAGCTGAATCCATTCATATGCAGCTGAAAATGTGTTTCCCCACAAGAATTTGACTGCTATGGCAGAAATGTAGTACAGAAAAAGGACAACGAGCATGTTTAAACCACCTCTCCCT